GATGATCGCGGTAAGACGTTCCCTTGAAAGCCATGACTTAGCTAGTACGTTGAGTATTAGTCTAAATACATGAAGACACGGAGAGACGGGATTGCAGCCTTTGGCCGTGTACTACATGACGATGCAGAATTTCTGGTGCGGATCTTTATATACATAAGGCCATTGGAACGGTGAAGGATCTTAAGTCTTTAGCCTTTATGGCTTCGGGCTGATAGATACCTTGTGATTTTACGTGGAGGGAAATAGTCTACGCGAAAGACCTTATATTGACATTGCATAACTTATCGCATTTTTTTTATTGGTTTGCTTGCGTGTTGATTGTTATTTTGGGTTTGGTTGGGAATTGATTATTGAATGTTAGGAGAGCATAGACTCACTGAGCAACTAGTGCTCACGACTCTACTTGTGTTGCAGGTAACCATTAGCGGGTAGACCACCGGGGGCCAAAGGAACATTAAGAAATTCAGCAGTAGATTTCCTTGCCTTTTGTAAATGAATAATGTTTATTATGTACATGATCGTTTTGGAGTGTTAGACTCACAATTCTATATGCTTGTATCACGTTTAAAACTTATGTATAAATTATATATATAAAAAAATCAAGTTTGCATAAATTCGGGTTTCATGTGATACTAGTCTTTGTCCGRACGAACTAACCATTGCGTATGTCTCGGGTTGGCAAGCCTTGAGATGTACCTAATGGGGACGAACGCTTAGAAGTCTTGTCTAGGGAATTTGGATATGTTCCAGGAACCTCTGACCGGACATCTAAGTATTCGTCAGTAGCGTTTCCGGTCTATAAATGATTGGGGGCGTTACAGTCAATGTCTCCGACGAGCCTAGATCCCCGAGTGATAATATCTCTCTCCAAGCTCATCGGGACGAGCTTGCTGCCGCTCTGGTTGCTGAGGGCGTGGCTGGTGAAAGGCAGCAGATCGACCTGGACTCTGGTCGGCATGACTTTGATTATTCCTTTAAAGGGAACAGAGGTCACGTGCTGCAGTTTCCTTCAGAGTGTGCGGTGCTCATGAGTCGCATCCAGGGGGAGAACACCACCGCATGCCTCGTCCGGACGACCTTTTTGCCAAGCAGGCTTATACTACATGGTCGCAACACGCTATTCAGATGCCTTTAG